AATTTCTTAAATGTCCTTCTGGAGGTTAATTTATCCATACAAAGCAAATAGGATACTATGTGTACAGTTCTGCACTTAATATATTTTGAAAATCACTTCCTGAAAGTACAAAAGGAGCTTCCTCAGGACTATTTTTATGACTCCTGATATACCTTTTATACACAGTAATTTAAATGGCTCCCTAGTTAATGACATTGAGAGCAGTTCCAACTTTTGTTGTTATGATTGCTGCAATGAGCAACCTTGTATTTACATATATGTAGGATATATTCCTAGGAGATACTTGGGTCAAAAGGTGTGGGCATGTGTAGTTTTGGTAGATATTGCTTGATTCTCCATAAGTGCCTGTTTCCTCATATCCTCGTCAACAGTGTGTTACCAAACTTTTTGATCTTTGTCAATCTGACAGGGGAAAAATGGTATCTCTGATGGTTTAATTTACAATTGTCTTATTTTAAGTGAAGTAAAGCGCTCTGCATGTTTAAGATACACTTAGGGCTGAGCCTGTGGCGCACTCGGGAGAGTGCAGCGCTGGGAGGTGAGCGCAGTAGCGCTCCCGCCGCGGGTTTGGACCCTATATGGGGATGGCTGGTGTGCTCACAAAACGACCAAAAAAAAAAAAAAAGATACACTTATATTTTTTCCCTGTTTGTTGGCTTTTTTTAAAGTTTATTATTTTTTTACATTCTAAGATGTTGTTGTGGAGCAGTTGTGGGGAGGGGATGAGGGGAAGGGGAAGGAAATAGGGTGGAGGAAGGCGGGGCATGTTGAGGCCCAAGGCACCCACCTCATTCTTGCAGGGGAGACCAGGGGGCTTCTAGCAGTGGCTCAGTCATTGCCGGGTGGATGCAGATGTCAGCGGGGTGTGGCTGAAGCCCTCTGCTTCCCACTGCCCCAGCTCAGTAGCCTGGGGCGCTTCCTGCGGTAGCACTGGTTGTTCCTGGGCTGGTTGCCAATGTTGGCCCACAGCTCTTCCCCTTCCCTTGCTTGGGAGCCCAGGGGGCTTCCAGTCCTTGTAGGTTTTATAGGTATTCTTTGATGGTATTACACCTGTACTGATTAATACCAAACTTTGAGGGCTGGCCTGTGGCTCACTTGGGTGAGCATGGTGCTGACAACACCAAGTCAAGGGTTAAGATCTCCTTACCGGTCATCTTTATTTATTTTTCTTTCCCCCCCTTTTTTTTTGTCTTTTTTTCGTGACCGGCAACGGATCGCAACCCTCAGTGTCGCGCC